CACACTGCTTTGAAACTAGAACTCAATCACAAGAGGAAACTTGGAAAGAATTCAAATACATGGAGGCTAAAGAGCATCCTACTAAAGAATGAATGGGTCAACCAGGAAATTAAAGAAGAATTAAAAAAATCATGGAAACAAATGAAAATGAAAACACAACTGTTCAAAATCTTTGGGATGCAGCAAAGGCAGATCTAAGAGGAAAGTATATAGCAATACAAGCCTTTTTCAAGAAATAAGAAAGGTCTCATATACACAACCCAACCCTACACCTAAAGGAGCTGGAGAAAGAACAGCAAATAAAGCCTAAACCCAGCAGGAGAAGAGAAATCATAAAGATCAGAGCAGAAGTCAATGAAATAGAAATCAAAAGAACAGTTGAACAGATCAACAAAAATAGGAGCTGGCTCTTTGAAAGAATTAATAAGATTGATGAACCCCTGGACATATCAAAAAGAAAAGAGAAAGGACCCAAACTAATAAAATCATGAATGAAAGGGGAGAGATCACAACCAACACCAGAGAAATACAAACAATTATAAGAACATATTATGAGCGACTATATGCCAGCAAATTAGACAATCTGGAAGAAATGGATGCATTACTAGAGATGTATAAACTACGAAAACTGAACTAGGAAGAAATAGAAAACCTGAACAGACACATAACCAGTAAGGAAATTGAAGCTGTCATCAAAAATCTCCCAACAAACAAGAGCCCAGGGCCAGATGGCTTCCCGGGAGAATTCTACCAAACATTTAAAGAAGAACTAATACATATTCTTCTGAAACTGTTCCAAAAAAATAGAAATGGAAGGAAAACTTCCAAACTCGTTTTATGAGGCCACCATTACCATGATCCCAAAACCAAGGACCCCATCAAAAAGGAGAATCACAGACCAATATCCCTGATGAACATGGATGCAAAAATTCTCACCAAAATACTAGCCAATAGGATCCAACAGTACATTAAAAGGATTATTCACCACAACCAAGTGGGTTGTAGTCCTGGGCTGCAAGGTTGGTTCAACAACCGCAAATCAATCAACATGATACAATACATTAATAAAAGAAAGAACAAGAACCATATGTTACTCTTCAATAGATGCAGAAAAAGCATTTGACAAAGTACAGCATCCTTTCTTGATTAAAACTCTTCAGAGTGTAGGGATAGAGAGTACATACCTCAATATCTAAAAGCCATCTATGAAAAACCCACAGAGAATATCATTCTCAATGGGGACAAACTGAGAGCTTTCCCCCTAAGGTCAGAAACATGGCAGGGATGACCACTATCACCACTGCTATTTGACATAGTACTAGAAGTCCTAGCCTCAGCAATCAGACAACAAAAAGAAATCAAAGGCATCTGAATCAGCAAAGAAGTCAAACTCTCACTCTTTGCAGATGACATGATACTTTATGTGGAAAACCCAAAAGACTCCACCCCCAAACTGCTAGAACTCATACAGGAATTCAGTAAAGTGACAGGATATAAAATCAATGCACAGAAATCAGAGTCATTTCTACACACCAAAAACAAGACAGAAGAAAGAGAAATTAAGGATTCGATCCCATTTACAAAACATAAGATACCTAGGAATAAATCTAACCAAAGAGGCAAAGAATCTGTACTCAGAAAACTATAGAATACTCATGAAAGAAATTGAAGAAGACACAAAGAATAGAAAAACGTTCCATGCTCATAGATTGGAAAAATCAATATTGTGAAGATATCAATGCTACCTAGAGCAATCTACACATTTAATGCAATCCCCATCAAAATACCATCAACTTTTTTCAAAGAAATGGAACAATTAATCCTAAAATTTGTATGGAAGCAGAAAAGACCCCGAGTAGCCAGAGGAATATTGAAAAAGAAAAACAAAGCTGATGGCATCACAATTCCAGACTTCAAGCTCTATTACAAAGCTGTAATCAAGACAGTATGGTACTGGCACAAAAACAGACACATAAATCAAAGGAACAAAATAGAAAGCCCAGAGATGGATCCTCAACTCTAAGGTCAACTAATCTTCAACAAAGCAGGAAAGAATATCCAGTGGAAAAAGACAGTCCCTTCAACAAATGGTGTTGAGAAAATTGGACAGTCACATGCAGAAGAATGAAACTGGACCATTTCCTTATACCACACACAAAAATAGATGCAAAATGGATGAAAGACCTATCAAAATCCTAAAGGAGAACACAGGCAGCAACTCTTCGACCTCAGCTCCAACAACTTCTTCCTAGAAATGTCATCAAAGGCAAGGGAAGCAAGGGCAAAAATGAACAATTGGGACTTCATCAACATCAAAAGCTTTTGCACAGCAAAGGAAACAAACAGTCAACAAAACCAAAAGACAACCAACAGAATGGGAGAAGATATTTGCAAATGACCTATCAGATAAAGGGCTAGTATCCAAATTCTATAAAGAACTTATCAAACTCAACACCCAAAGAACAAAGAATCCAATCAAGAAATGGGCAGAAGACATGAACAGACATTTTTCCAAAGAAGACATCCAAATGGCCAACAGACACATGAAAAAGTGCTCAACATCGCTCGGCATCAGGGAAATCCAAATCAAAACCTCAATGAGATACCACCTCACACCATCAGAATGGCTACAATTAACAAGTCAGGAAACGGCAGATGTTGGCAGGGATGCAGAGAAAGGGGAACCCTCCTACACTGTTGGTGGGAATGCAAGCTGGTGTAGCCACTCTGGAAAACAGTATGGAGGTTCCTCAAAAAGTTGAAAATAGAGCTACCATACGATCCAGCAATTGCACTACTGGGTATTTACCCCAAAGATACAAATGTAGGGATCCAAAGGGGTATGTGCACCCCAATGTTTATAGCAGCAATGTCCACAATAGCCAAACTGTGGAGAGAGCCAAGATGTCCATCAACAGATGAATGGATAAAGAAGAGGTGGTATATATATACAATGGAATATTATGCAGCCATCAAAAGAATGAGATCTTGCCATTTGCAACAGCATGGATGGAACTGGAGGGTGTTATGCTGAGCGAAATAAGTCAATCAGAGAAAGATATGTATCATATGACTTCACTGATATGAGGAATTCTTAATCTCAGGAAACAAACTGAGGGTTGCTGGAGTGGGGTGGGTGGGAGGGATGGGGTGGCTAGGTGATAGACACTGGGGAGGGTATGTGCTATGGTTAGCGATGTGAATTGTGCAAGACTGTTGAATCACAGATCTATACCTCTGAAACAAATAATGCAATATATGTTAAGAAAAAAAGAAAAAAGAAGATAGCACGAGGGGAAGAATGAAGGGGGGGAAATCGGAGGGGGAGATGAATCATGAGAGACGATGGACTCTGAAAAACAAACTGAGGGTTCTGGAGGGTTAGCCTGGTGATGGGTATTAAAGAGGGCAAGTTCTGCATGGAGCACTGGGTGTTATGCACAAACAATGAATCATGGAACACTACATCAAAAACTAATGATGTAATATATGATGATTAACATAACAATAAAAATTTAAAAAAATTAAAACACTAAGCTATCACCTTAGTCATATAAGTTCAGTAGACATTTGGATATTGCTAACATAAAGTGTCAATCAGGATATGAAGAAAATGGGAATTTTCCTATCCAAGAGGACAATAATGATCAGTGAAATTAAGTATAAGTATGTCCTATCCCCAGAACACTCCATTCCTAATCTATATCCAAGCAAAGTTCTCATGTCTACCTACAGGGCACATTAGAAAGTACTCATCACAGCAGTGTCTATAGTAACCAGGAATTAGAGGCAACTCAATTGTCCTTCACAAGTGGGACTGACAAGCTAAATGGTCTTAGGTTGGTTTCCTCTAAAACCAGATCCTGAAATAAGGATTTGCATTCAAGTAGATTATTTGGGAGATGATTTAAGGAAGCACCAGTGTGGGAAGGGGAAAGTGAGGCAGAGGCAGTGTGAGAATAAATAAAGGGTACATTATGGCTGGTTACTTCTGTGGACAAAGAGAGCTTAATCCCACAGGAAACCCCTGAAAGGCAGTGTTATCTATGCCCCCGAGTAATCTTACCCAAGTGGGTAGAACACAGGGGTATTTATCCTCCAGTTCCCATCAGGCTGGCTGAGTGGTGGTCCCAGGTACATTAAATTACACCCATCTAGGTCTATCTAGCCTGCACAGCACAGGCCAAGAGAAAACCTTCAGGTAGAGTCCCAAGTTTGTGCAGGACACCAGAGGCATGAACTAGAAAAATTAGTACCAAAGGGAGAGCACAAAGCAACAATTGTGTCATGCAGACAGATTTTAAGAGATAGGTAGAGGGAAATGCATAAGAAACAGGAAGAGTTATAGACCAATATCATTAATGTAAATTTAAAACACAAGCAGAAACCAAACCATATTACATATATCACATTCATACCACATATGTGGACACATTTCAGAAACACTACACAGTGCCTTGAGGTGCAGTGATGAATAGGACTGAAAGATGGGGGATGAAAAAAAGAAATATAGAAACTGAGGGGCCTCACAGGACTTGATGAAGAAAGGGTGTCACTGAGGAGAGTGATTTAAAACATCTATCTTCTGCCTCCTCTAGGTTAAAAGATCTGCTTTTTCTGGACCCCATAAAAACTCTCACCTCCCACATTACACATAGGACATCTGGTTTTGGGCTCCATAAAGAGCAGGAACTGTGTCAAACACAACATTATACCCCTCACAGCCTGTGGCCAACGCTCATCAGATAATACAGCTCTCCACTCTTTTTCAATAAATAGACTTGAAGAAGAGGCACACAAGCACAATATAAGGCCCCAAAACTACATTTCCCAGAGATCTCTGGGTGATTTTAACTCAACTCTAGGGGGTGGAGCAGTTTGGAAAGACAGGAAGGGCACTTCTTGTACTGGTGCTGGAAGTGGGAGGACTGCTGTCAGCCTGGTTCCTGGTTGTGAGGCCTAGTGGACCTCGGTAAGTGACTTGTTTATGCTTTAAAATTGGGGCTTAATCCTATCTTAAATGTGTATCCAGAGGACTAGATACTGTACTCACTTGAATTTCAGGTCCTATGGTGGTTCAGAAAGTTTGGTTAACACATACTTTGAATCCTTATGCTGTAACTACTATACAGCATATAAGAAAGGGGCCCTTGATTCAAACTGCCTGGGTTATAGGGGTTATAGTCACAGCCACATCGAATCCTAGCTGTGAGGACTTGGGTAGGTCACTCTGCATCTCTAAAAGTCAGGTTGTCCATCAGTAAAATGGATGTAATAAGAGAGCTTACTTAAAGGGTTGTTGTGTGGATTAAAGAAGTGTATAAAAGCTAATGTGTATAATGACTGTTTCAGGGATTTCCCTCTTGGATAATTGAAACAGTGATGTCCACCTCCTCTGTCCCCAACATGCTGTGTCCCAAAGGGCTCAGTTAGCCCTATAGGCAGCAAGTTCATATTTCCTGCTGCTCCTGCATTAACTGGTCAGAAATACTCTAATAATCCCAAATGTCCAGGGAGGCTAAGTTGCACTGTCTGCAGTGTTTAAGGGAATTCCTGAAGCAAGTTCCATCATGTTGGAAAGAGGCTTAGTGGGGAGAGTCCCAGGAGCCATAAGGACAAGAATCAACTCCTTCACTGTTGGCACCGAGCAGCAAGGTACAGAATTCCATAGGAGAAAGGAAGCTGCTGAAGCAGACAGCCCCAGGAGCAATGGGCCCGATGGGCTCTCCACTCTGGACATTGTTCCCAGGCTTTGGCATGATTCCCACAACATGCCTGTTGGCTCTTTTTAAATAAACTGCTCTCACCCTTCCCCAGGGCCCTCATTTTAGTTTCTCAATCACAAAACAGCTGACCCCACCCCTCTCTCACTCCAGAGGAAATTAAACTGTCGACTATTTAGCTGCATCCTGTCCAGAGACTTATTTTGTTTGTCCTTTATAGGTTTAAGAAGTTCAGATCCAACTTTAAAAATAGGCAGATTTTACCTTCAAGTCTGAATTTCTCCTGCTGAGGAGGGCAAAAGCAAAACAAAACAAAACTCTCAGAACTTTCTGCTTCCTGGGGCTCATTCTAACTGTCTTTAACTGTACCAACTGTTTTTCCTGGATGGGGCTTTTCAGTGACAGTTCAAGGATGGTATGTGGGCATGGCTTGCCTGGCAACTTCTCCTTTTCCATCTGGAACATTACTGTGCTGGCCACTTGCCCCTGAGAGTGGGCTGGGCTGTAGTGTCCTTGTGGTGGGCCTCAGAGCCAAAGCTGAATGGATAGGATGGGAAAGGAAAGGAAGGGAGAGGAAAAGAAAAGAAAAGCACATAGGAAGAAAAGTCATTCAAGAGCACTCCTTAAAATTCTTCTATTCAACTTGGCAATTCTATTCCTAGGTACATACCCCCCAAAACTGAAAGCAGATACTGAAAAATATACATAGCTGCACTATTCACAATAGCTAAAGGTGGAAACAAGCCAAATGCTCATCAAGGAATGAAGAGATAAACAAAAATAGTATATTCATGCTATGGAATATTACTAATTCATAAAAAGGAATGAAGTGTTTTGTTTAAGCAACAAACTTATTTCTTACAGTTCTGGACTCTGGGAAGTCCACTTCCAAGGTGTACAGTTTATGTGTCTGTTGATGTCCCAGTTCCTGTTGTGCAGAGGGCTGATTTCTTCTTCTGTCTTCCAAGGTAGAGATGAGGGAGAAAGCAAAGTCTCTTGTGTCTCTTATTCTATTTTTTGTGGGTGTGTCTCTTCTTCTAAAGGCACTAATCCCATTCATGAGGCTTTCAGTTTCCAAACCTAATTATCTTCCATGACCCCCCCCCTACTTCCTAAGGCCATCACATTGGAGGTGAGGATATCAATACATGAATTTTGTAGGGGTACAAACATTCAGTCCACAACAAAACTATTATAGTTCTTTTCTGTATATTAAACTATTTTTAGTCCTGCCTACAACTCAGTAAACTATCATCCTCATCATTCTAATTTACAGGGGAATAATCTGAGGCACAGAGTGGCAAGAGTTTTTGTCTGAGATTATGTAGCTAATAGGGGAAAGAGTGAGAATTCTGTCTCTGGACAGTAATTTTCAACTTTGATTGCACTTTGAATTTACCTGGAGACTTTTTATTTAATTTTTATTATTTTCTTTTTTACTAAAGTAAATTGACATACAATTTTATATTAGTTTCAGGTGTACAATATAGTGATTCAATATTTATATATACCTTGTGAAATGATCACCAAGATAAATCTAGCTGCCATATGTCACCATACAAAATTGTTACATATTATTAACTATATTCCCTATACTGTACATTGTATTCCCATGTCTTATTTATTTTGTAACTGAAAGTTGGTACCTTTTAATCCCCTTCTTCTATTTAGCCCATCGCCCCATGCCCCTCCTCTCTGACAATCATCAGATTATCTTTGTATCTATGAGTCTATTTCTGTTTTGTTTGTTTTGGTTTTTTTAATACACATTTAAGTGAAATTATACAGAATTTTCTTTCCCTGTCTGGCTTATTTCACTTAGGGTAATACTCTCTAGGTCCATCCATGTTGTCACAAATGGGAAGATTTTATTTTTTTTCTTATGGCTTAGTGATATTCCATTGTAAATATTTACATTTACTTGATCCTTTCTTCTATTAATGGACAGTTAGATTGCTTCTATATCTTGGCTATTATAAATAATTCTGCAATTAACTTCAATAATTTTTGAATTAGTGTTTTCATTTTCTTCATATAAATACCCAGAAATGGAATTGCTGGATTGCATGGCAGTTTTATTATTAATTTTTTGAGTAACTACCATACTATCTTCCATAATGGATGTGCCAATTACATTCCCACCAACAGTGATCAAGGATCTCTATGCTCCACATCCTAACCTACACTTGCTTTTTTTTTTAAGTAAGCTCTATGCCCAATGGGGCTTGAACTCATGACCCCAAGATCAAGAGTCACATGTTCTACTGACTGAGCTAGCCATGTGCCCCAGCACTTACTATTTCTTGTCTTTTTTGATACTAGCCATTCTGACTGGTGTGAGGTGATATCTCATTGTGGTTTTGATTTGTATTTCCCTGATGATTAGTGATGTTAAGCATCTTTTCATGTGTCTGTTGGCTATCTTTATGTCTTCTTTGGAAACATGTCTATTCCAGTCCTCTGCCTGTTTTTTTAACTGGATTGTTTTTTCATTTGTTTTTGATGATGAGCTTGTGAGTTCTTTATATATTTTGTATACTAACCCCTATCAGTAACTGATGTCCAAGAGCTGACTGAATTGCCATAGATTTATGTATATTAATTTTGTATCTGACAAGCTTACTGAATTCATTCATTAATTCTAATAGGTTTTTTTTTTTGGTAGAATTGGTAGAGTTTTCTTTTTTTTTTTTAATTATATTATGTTAGTCACCATACAGTACATCATTAGTTTTTGATGTAGTGTTCTATGATTTATTGTTTGCATATAACACCCAGTGCTCCATGCAATACGTGCCCTCCTTAATACCCATCACTGGGCTAACTCATCCCCCACCCCCCTCCCTTCTAAAACCCTGTTTGTTTTCCGCAGTCCATAGTCTCTCATGGTTCATCTCCCCCTCTGATCCCCCCTTCATTTTTCCCTTCCTTCTCCTACTGTCCTCCATGCTATTCCTTATGTTCCACAAATAAGTGAAACCTTATGGTAATTGACTTTCTCTGCTTGACTTATTTCACTTAGCACAATCTCCCCCAGTTCCATCCATGTTGATGCAAAAGTTGGGTATTCATCCTTTCTGATGGCTGAGTAATATTCCATTGTATATATGGACCACATCTTCTTTATCCATTCATCTGTTGAAGGGCATCTTGGCTCCTTCCACAGTTTGGCTCTTGAAGACATTGCTGCTATGAACATTGGGGTGCATATGGCCCTTCTTTTCACTACATCTGTGTCTTTGGAGTAAATACCCAGTAGTGCAATTGCTGCGTCATAGGGTAGCTCTATTTTGAACTTTTTAGAAACCTCCATACTTTTTTCCAAAGTGGCTGTACCAGCTTGCATTCCCACCAACAGTGTAAGGGGGTTCCCCTTTCTCCACAACCTCTCCAACATTTGTTGTTTCTTGCCTTGTCAATTTTTGCCATTCTAACTGGTGTATGGTGGTATTTCAATGTGCTTTTGATTTGAATTTCCCTGATGGCTAATGATGAACATTTTTTCATGTGTCTGTTAGCTATATAAATATGTTTTCTGCAAATAGTGACAGTTTTACTTGTTATTTCCACTTACATTTTTAAAAATTTATTTTTCGGGGTGCCTGGGTGGCTCAGATGGTTAAGCGTCTGCCTTTGGCTCAGGTCATGATCCCAGAGTCCTGGGATCGAGTCCCCCATCGGGCTCCCCGCTCTGCGGGAAGTCTGCTTCTCCCTCTGCCTCTCTCTCTCTCTCTCATGAATAAGTAAATAAAATCTTTAAAAACAAATAAATAAAATTTATTTTTCTTCTCTGATGCTATGGCTAGAACTTCCAATACTATGTTGGATAAAAGTGGCAATAGTGGGCATCCTTGTCTTATTCCTGATCTTAGAGGAAAAGCTTTCATCTTTTCCCTGTTGAGTCTGATGTTAGCTGTTGCTTTGTCATATGTGTCCTTTAATATGTTGAGCTATGTTCCTTCTATACCCACATTGTTGAGAGTTCTTATCATAAATAATAGTTGAATTTTATCAAATGCTTTTTTCTGCATCTATACAGATGAAAACATGGTTTTTATCCTTTTTGGTTAATATGGTGTATTACTGTGATTCATTTGTGAATGCTGAGCAATCCTTGCATCTCTGGAATAAATCCCACTTGAACATGGTGATGATCCTTTTAATGTATCATTGAATTCGGTTTGCTAATAGTTTTTGGGGATTTTTGCATTTGTGTTCATCAGGAATACTGGCCTATAATTTTCCTTTTTTGTGGCGTCTTTCCCTGGTTTTGGGATCAGGGTAATATTGATCTCCTTTAATGGTTTTGGAAGCATTCCTCTTCATTTTTTTGGAATATTTTCACCAGGATAGGTATTAACTCTTTATTGTTTATTATTTTTTTGCAAAAATTGTCTATAATTGTGGGGAACAGAATCAATAAACAAAGATATTATTAATTTCTCTTGACTAAAATAAAACAGACAAAAAACATTAATCATAATTTAAAAGATTTCATTGTATTTCATAAAAAGAAATAAAATCAGTAAAAATAAGCTTTCCTAGATAAAACCAACTAAAGATTAATAAAATTATTTTCAAGAGAAATATTTTTGTGAACATGCTTACTTACAGGAAATTTAGAGTCTCACCTCCAGTCCTACATCAAAACAAATTTCTTTTTTTTTTTTTTTGGCATTAATTTTTTTATTAAGTTCAATTAGCCAACATACAGTTCATCATAATTTTTTGATGTAATGTTCAGTGCTTCATTAGTTGCACATAACACTCCGTGTTCATCATGTCATGTGACCTCTTTAATACCCATCACCTGGTTACCCCATCCACCCACTACCCTCCCTTCTGCAACCCTCTTTAAATATTTGGTAGAATTTATCTTTGAAGGCATCTGGTCCTGGGCTTTTGTTTGTTTGGAGGTTTTTTTTTTTTTATTGATTCAATTTCATCAATAGTAATCTATCTATTCAGATTTTCCATTTCATCCTGACTCAGTCCTGGAAGAGAGTATGTTTCTAGGAATTTATCCATTTCTTCTAGCTTGTCCCATTGGTTGGCAAGAAATTGTTCAAAATAGTCTTTTATTATCCTTTGTATTTCTGTATCATCAGTTGTAACTTCTCTCCCATTTCTGATTTTACTTATTTGGGCACTCTCTTGTTTCTTGATAAGTCTGGCAAAAGGTTTGTCAATTTTATCTTTTCAACGAACCAACTCTTAGTTTCACTGATTTTTTTTATTGGTTTCTTAGTCTCTATTTTATTTATTTTCACTCTAATCTTTATTTCCTTCCTTCTACTAACTTTGGGCTTTGTTTGTTCTTTTTCTAGTCCCTTCAGATATAAGGTTGAATGTTTATTTGAGATTTTTTTTTTCAATCTTGAGATAGGCCTGTATTGCTATAAACTTACCTATTAGAACTGTTTTTGCTGCGTCTCAGAGGTTTTGAAACATTTTGTTTCCATTTTCATTTGTCTTGAGTTTTAATATGATTTCCTCTGATTTTTTTGTTGACCCATATTGTTTAGCTTCACATGTTTGTGCTTGTTCCAGTTTTCTTCTTGTAATTGATTTCAAGTTTCAAACTGTTGTGTTCAGAAAAGATGGTTGATATGATTTCAGTCTTCTTAAATTTACTGAGAGTTGTTTGCAGCCTAAAATGTGATCCATCTTTGTGAATGTTCCCTGTACACTTGAAAAATACGTATTCAGCTGTTTTTGGTGGAATATTCTATCTATATCTGTTAAGTCCTCTGGCTAATATGTAATTTAAGGCCAACATTTCCTTATTGATTTTCTCTCTGGATGATTGATTCATTGATGTAAGTGGAATGTTAAAAATCTCCTATTATTGTATTACTGTCAGTTCCTCACTTTATGTCTGTCAGTATTGCTTCATGTATTTAGGTGCTCCTATGTCCAGTGCATAGATATTCGTGTTATATCCTCTTGTTGTATTGATCTCTTTATC